TGTTACGATGTCGGATATTGTTACGATGTCGGATATTGTTACGATGTCGGATATTGTTACGATGTCGGATATTGTTACGATGTCGGATATTATTACGATGTCTGATATTGTTATAATGTTGTATATTATTGCGATACACGGTATATTATAACGGTGGTCGTAATTCTTACGACGATCATAAATCCCACAGCCAGCGCAGCAATTTCATGCCAACAGATTGTCAGTCTCCTGAGCTGCAGAACATAAATCTGCTCCTGGAAGTGAGAAGTGCAGTCTGCTGTCAGCAACTAGAGTCTGCTGTCAGCAACGAGAGTCAGCTGTCAGCAACGAGAGTCAGCTGTCAGCAACGAGAGTCTGCTGCCAGCAACGAGAGTCTGCTGTCAGCAACGAGAGTCTGCTGTCAGCAACGAGAGTCTGCTGTCAGCAACGAGAGTCTGCTGTCAGCAACGAGAGTCTGGGGAATGGGGAATCCTGCACAGTCTCCGCATCGTTTTGTTGCAATATTCGCTACTCTGAAAGTCTCACCTTTAAAGTTGGGAGCAAGTCCGGTTATCATCTTCCAACTGTACATTATGATAAACCTCTCCTCCTCTCCAGTATGCAGGTGAGTACAGTATGCAGTTGTTTCAACCTTCTCCAGTAGTCCAGCTCCAGCTCCCTCATACCGATTATCCTGGGCGTGCGGGTTCGTTGGACTGCCTGCAGTTTCTGCACCGCGACCGCCTTGAGAGTCGCCCAAAGCTGACAGCAGTATTCCTGAATAGGGAGCACGCGGGCGCTGAAGACTGTGATCATTGGCTTCGCTTATCTCGTTCGGAATCACCACCAGATCCACTTCATCCATTGTTTGCCCTGAACACTTATTTCCTCAATGTGGTCATCGAACGTGGTTTCGGTACTGATCATCAACACTCCGAGATCTCGAACAAGTTGCGCCTCCTCAATTTCTGTGCCGTCCGATGCCAAGTGCGATGCAGCATCCCGGTCTCTGTGCCAATTCTGTATCTCATTACCTCGAAATTCTCGCAATTTAATTGCATGTTATTAACCAGGACCCAGTCGTAGATTGCCGATAGGTCATAATGCAACCTCTCGCCGTTTAGGTCTTCTGTGACCCTCAGCAGTACTCATGTATCGTCCGCAAATGATGATGAAGATGAGTGGGTAAGCTCAAAGTCAATGTCGGCGATTTGGATGAAAAAGAGATCGGTCCAAGCTCCGAACCCAGTACGTGCATGGCACTTTGCTTTTCACCTTCGCTTTTCTCAATTTCGAGTTGCCAATTGCGACAGCTTTAACTCTGTCAATTAAATATCAGGCTAACTCTAATGATAACTCTAATCCACTATTGGCTAATATACGATTTGATAATCATTCTTTCTTGTGAGAAACCCTTAATGTTAAACCGTGCATGAACCAATAAAGTTGGTCAGGTAGTAATAGCATTGCAGCAGCTCAGGTAGCAATATCATTGCAGCACTTCAGGTGTAGCACTATTAATAACCAATGATAGACTAACACTGGCAATGTGAAAACTAGCTCCAGTCAGAACCATTTATTAAAAGAAATACATTAAAAAATGCATAAATTTAAAAACATTCAGCATGAATACAATCATTATCGTTGTCAAGCTTATCGTTGTAATCATCGTAATCATTATCGTTGTCAATTCACTTAAATCAAAACATATATACCTGACCGTGTACTACGATAGAGATTATTGCCAATATATCGTCAGGTATACCGATGTTATTTATTAGCTTTTTGCCGCAACACTGCATAGTTTTAACGCGCTCATAATATCCAGTTACCATTGATTTTCCAATTAATGTTTCCGCAATCTCTCATAAAATGCTCATAAATTAATATATAGCTTTTAACGAGCATATGAGGTGGCTCTCTTGTCTCCATGGTGAGCACGCAAGAGCGCTTTTTTGTGAGCATGCATGAGCACTTCTTTGTGAGCCCGCATGAGTGCTTCTTCGTGAGCACGCATGAGCACTTCTTCGTGAGCACGCATGAGTGTTTCTTCGTGAGCACGCATGAGTGTTTCTTCGTGAGCACGCATGAGCGTTTTTCGTGAGCACGCATGAGCGCTTCTCCGTGAGCACGCATGAGCGCTTCTTCGTGAGCACGCATGAGCGCTTCTTCGTGAGCACGCATGAGCGCTTCTTCGTGAGCACGCATGAGCGCTTCTCCGTGAGCACGCATGAGCGCTTCTCCGTGAGCACGCATGAGCGCTTCTCCGTGAGCACGCATGAGCGCTTCTTCGCGAGCACGCATGAGCGCTTCTTCGTGAGCACGCATGAGCGCTTCTTCGTGAGCGCGCATGAGCGCTTCTTCGTGAGGACGCATGAGCGCTTCTCCGTGAGCACGCATGAGCGCTTCTCCGTGGGCACGCATGAGCGCTTCTCCGTGAGCACGCATGAGCGCTTCTTCGCAAACGCGCATGAGCGCTAGTTTGTGAGCACGCATGAGCACGAGTGACAGAAGTGCTCATTCATGTTGATGAAAATTTGCATTTTAGATGAGCAGCCGATATTGCCTCCACGCCTGGCTTATAGGGACTGCCTCTAGAGCAACCCTATAGGAGTGATGCCTCGACAACGTAAAGTACTGCCTCCATGCCTGGCTTATGGGAGCCGCACTATTAATATATTAATAATTCATTAATATATTAATAATTTATTAATATAACATACGAGGTTACATTTATGACTTAATGGACGAACTATCATTTTACTTGATTTTTCAATCTTAAACGCAATAAAATATTGGATTGCCGATGGGTGCACCGTCGAATTAGCGTGCTAATGCGGATATAATTTGTAATAATGAACTAAAACCTAAAATTTTCTGAGGGTCCGGGCGAAAAAATGCAATCGCAGTTGCAGGCATGCATCGCTGAGTCCTTATAGCATCGTCCTCTGCAATTGGCGTATTGGCTGGCATTCGGCAATGCGTGCAAAGGAGATTTGCTGAGGTAGGTGATATGGGAAGATATCGGAAGATATTGGGTGGTATCGGGTGATATTCAAGAAAAAAGCCTTACGCTTCATCGTCTTCGCCAAGGAGCAAGTTTTTCTCAAGACGCGAACAACGATTCGTCCGGTCGATTGTACATCACGACATCCGTTACGCGCGTCATAACCCATGCACAATAGTAATTCTCCATGACAATTGCTGCTAAATAATAACCCATGCACAATAGTAATTCTCCATGACAATTGCTGCCAAATAACAACCCATGCACAATAGCAATTCTCCATGACAATTGCTGCCAAATCATAACCCATGCACAATAGTAATTCTCCATGACAATTGCTGCCAAATAACAACCCATGCACAATAGCAATTCTCCATGACAATTGCTGCCAAATCATAACCCATGCACAATAGTAATTCTCCATGACAATTGCTGCCAAATAACAACCCATGCACAATAGCAATTCTCCATGACAATTGCTGCCAAATCATAACCCATGCACAATAGTAATTATCGTTCTCCGAATTCTAACGGCCGTTCTCCGAGAAGCTGTGGCTGCTAGCAAGAATTACGAATTTATAAAAAAAAATTTTAAGTTACTGATATTTCCGATGTCGTTATGATGATGGCATGGCGCCTGCAATTACGGGGTGTAGTTTTAAACCCGGAAACTGTGATAATGCTTCCAATATTGTAATATTTGACCGTATCTCTATAGGTTAATTTACAATAAGTCTTGAGACTGTTAATTGCCAAGCGGATGTAACAATAAAGCAACAAGAACAAATTTTGCCGATCAATCATCTATTCATTGACTAAAGATTAATATTTCATAAATCAAAAATTAATCTCCTTTTATTCATATTACAATGTATAAAAATTATAGCGATAAAGAATGAGACGTGCGTTTGCGTATATAGGGTGCAAGCAAATTTTTTATTCACTAAAGCTCAATATGAGCCCTTGAGAAACTCTAGGGTAAACCAAGATTAAAAGGCGTAAATTCATGCGTAAAACGTAGCTAAGAAGAGCGTCCTGAAGGGCGCAAGAAAGGAGCGGGTAATTCGAAGCATAAGTAATCGTTCAGCCCTCATTTATTATGGAACCTAATGAGGCCAACGTTAATTGAGCCTCACGAGACTGATGGCCTCTTAAAGCCCCTCTCGACAATGGAGGGCCTCACGCCTTGGCAAGGCTTGAAACAAATTGAGTTTGGAAGCGCGTCGATAGCGCCTAGACACCTTAAAGTGCCACCAGAAAAAGACGCTGAGAAGTTGAGTGTCAGATTCGAGTGGCCGACATTGTCGCGGCGTCGGGGGGAACGAGTCAATACGCCAGCCCAACACGGCGCGTTCATTGGCCCTCGCCGACCCAGAGATCGTCGTGCCATTGGTTCGGCGTTCAAGGCCTCCGAGGGGATCCGAGACCAGTGCCATTGATCATCCAATGAGGCTAACAAATCAGAGGGTAAGCCCCGCCTTTTGATGTGCCACGGAATGAGGGTAACAAATCAGAGGGTAAGCTCCTCCCTCTGAGACCAATAACGCTTGAAGGTATGCCTTGGTAACCTGGGTTTTGACCGATCAAATATCAGCTCAAGGATTGCAGCGTCGGGATTGGTTGCGGTGTTGAGGATCCAGGGGTCACCCAAGACAGAGATGGTCAAACCGCAAGTGTGACCACCGCTGTGGCCCGGCCACCTGACCTTCTGTACCTTCAGCAGCACCGAGTGCCGCCGTCAGGAGAGTCGTGTCCTCTGCATCTCCATACGCGGATGTAAGCCGGAGTCTGGAACCGGCAGTGGGCATAACTTCTGCATAAACATTCGTTCAAAGTTACAAGTACTAACGATCGAAGTTTTGACGTTAGCGTCAAGATTCGTTTTGTCGAGTTTCAAACATCTAATTTTAGGAAAATTATCGACAAATCGGAAATGAGGAACCTTGTTGGAAATTTTTGATCAGTAATTTTAAAGAGTGTTGGCACGGGAAGACCTTAAGCTTAAAGTTTACTCACCACGAGTTGTTTTCCTACTCACTCGTGAAGAAAGAAAATGGACAAACAATAATTGTGTCATCTAGTCCTCCGATGGTGAGTAATAAACTAGTTATTTTTATTTTGAACTGCAATATGGATTTTGAGAAATACGCAACACGAATACGATACTCACGGAACAGGACTTGCAGGTAATGACTTCTTTACACTTGCAAATGCTGATGCAAAATAGATCCTCGATTTAACGGACGTTGTGACGAATATTACAGAATAAGTATAGTATAATGTATCAGCTATGATTAGGCCCTTTGACCTACCGATTAATTCGCAACATCGCAGAATATTCACAGCTAGCTGTGGATCTCAAACATACAACTCTCTGTTCTAAGTCTAAGTTTTCTGTGCTTATACTGCCCGGCCGATTTGCTGATTTTGTCCAGAACTTATTTTGTCGCAGGTCGCTGGGTATGAACCCACAATTCACAACTCCAATCATGGTATTTTGAACGCAACCACTGGGCCACCCGTCCCAGTTGAATGCTATAATTTTATACATAGAAATATGTAATAATACCAATTGTCGAAAGTTACACGAGAAAATTTTTTAAATCTCCGAATTCGTGTGCAGAGAATGACATAATTAAGGAAAATATTGGCCAATTTCAACTTTACCCGTTAGGGGGAGCATCAAGGACGAGATTTTGTGAGGGGAGCTGACAGCACGAGGCTCTACTTTTGTTGATCCCAGATAACATATGTAGGCCTAAGTGTCGTATTCAGTAATTAATGCAGTGAGAGGTATGAATGTGTTATGCCACTCTCTTGCAGGAACATAACTGTCAACATAAAATATACGTCAAATATTGAGTGTAGCAACATATAAGGACTTTTGTACGCAACAGAGAACATTTTGAAGCTGTCGTATACGTGGCGGCAACCATCAGTGCAAGTCATTTTGCGCTCACTAGAACGTATACTTTTTGTGTGAGAAGTAGGCTTGTGAAAGTATTGCTCCGGTTACTCATGCATATGGCAGGCAGCAGAGGGTTAGAGGGTTAATTATCCATGGTAGCAACGGTGCTCGCAGATATGGCTGCAAATATTTCAAACGTGTGTTTTCAGATTCAATTTTATTAGTCTCAATCTAAGAGATTTTATAGCTTAGATATAATTTTTAGGTACAAGTACGAGCTCAGTTCGAAAATCATTTTAAAATAGGATTGCATCATAAATTTTCGGATGGAATCGCAGTTTACATGCTAATATGCTATCACAAAAGATTGAAAATTTGTACTTCAATTACCGAGCAACTTCGAGCATGCAATGAAACAAAATAACGTTAACCTTACCATGTGACGAACATGGTATGTGACGAACTAGTATGTGACGAACATATTAGTATGTGACGTACATATAGTATGTGCGTGTTGAGAGTGTGTGACGAGTGCAGTCAACATGAGAGGTCAGGCCGTCTCGGCTGCTGGAATATTTCATGATGAGCTCGATCATGTATAGCGGTCAACTCGTGTTAGTCACGGGACTGTGGAGTCATATTTACACTCGCCTTAACTTATATACGCAGTCAACTCATGTTAGCTACGGGACTGCGGTGTCGTATTTACAATAGCTTTAACTTATATATACGCAATCAACTCGTGTTAGTCACGGGACTGTGGAGTCGTATTTACAATAGCTTTAACTTATACGCAATCAACTCATGTTAGCTACGGGACTGCGGTGTCGTATTTACAATAGCTTTAACTTATACGCAATCAACTCATGTTATTCACGGGACTGTGGAGTCGTATTTACAATATCTTTAACTTATACGCAATCAACTCATGTTATTCACGGGACTGTGGAGTCGTATTTACAATATCTTTAACTTATACGCAATCAACTCATGTTAGTCACGGGACTGTGGAGTCGTATTTACAATCGCATTAATTTATACGCGGTCAACTAATTATATACATATATATAGTCACGCGACTGTGGAGTCATATATGCGCTCACCTTATCTTATACGCGTTCAACCAATGTTAGTCACGGGACTGCAGAGCCATGCATATAATCGCTTTAACTATACGCGGTCAACTAATTATAGTCGCAAGATTGAAGAATCATATATATGTACATGCAACCGCCTCAACTTATACGCGGTCAACTAATTTTACGTAGTTACTAAAATGTCGACAGCCTCTTTGAGTTCAAAAACTGGGGTTAGATATTTTTTTATTTTAGTCCATTCCTGCTTTAACACACGTGGCTATTTGATGGTTGAACTTTAACGATTCAAACACGAAAAAATTGAGAATTTCTAAATCATGTAGTAGTAGTAACTAAAAATAATCTGGCACAAAGTGAAAGCGAAGAACTGAGTCGAGGTTTTGACGCCTCTTGTTATACATATCTTTAGTAATTAAAGGAATCCATGCAGCTCAGAAATCTACGGCAGTCTGTACGGCATTCTGCACGGCATTATGTACGTTAT